CATTTCAGACAATACCATTGGAGAAAAAAAGCTACCACAATTTCGCATCAAAGAAAAGTATAAATAAAGTCAACCCGATTACAATAAAGAGGCGAAGAAGAAAAATGATCACCAGCCAGAGGAGAAAAACCCTATCTTTTCAGTTTCATAAGATCCACCATATAGAAACATGGACATCATGTTCAGACAATCAACCAATGGATTAAACACTGACCCCAACTAGCCAGCATAGGAAACACCAAAATCAAATCAAATCATTTCAAGAAAATAAAAGAGCAATGAACAAAAGCGTAGAGAAAAACACTAACTTACCAATTTTAACGGCAAAAGAAAAAAAAAAGGTGCTTAATTTACAGATAGTTGGTGATGACCTGGTAGTGCAAAGAGGTCTCCTTTTGGGGAGGCGAAAGGTCGGTGGCTTTATCCCTGAGGCGGTTGAGAGCCTTTGAGTGGAGGCGGCTCTAAGAGAAGCGGAGGAGGAGAGGAAGAGGCGCCTTGCACCAGCGGCGACGGCCCTAGACATGGTGGCCAGAGAGAGGCGGAGAAGAACGAGTAAACTCAAAACCCTGACTAAAACCCTAGCTGCAATCCCCCGATAAAAATAAAGCTCAAAAGGACGGAAAATGAATGTGGAATTCCCGCTAAAATGAAACCGAAAGTGCAATGAGTTTGTTCGAGAGCGATTCGCTACAATTCAGGTTCGATTCCAATTGCCACAAAGAATAAAACACAAAAGGAAAGACACTATCTAATATACGTTTCAAGTTCGATTTTATTGCTTCATTCATACCTCTTTTTCATCATTGTTTGTTTGTGATTTTGTTCAAAAGATTCATACCTCCTTTGGTTTATAATTTTGTGACCAAAATACCTTTGAAACGAGTGCTAGGTCCATGAAGGTCATCACCATTAATTTAAAAGGGTGATGATAATAGATGGTGGGAACAAACTTTTGAACCATCACATCACAGTTGTAAGAGAATTAACGATGGCTTTGCCACCATTCAACCATCACAATTCTATTTAAGAGAGCTAGAATTGTGATGCACTGAATGAACTGAAACCATGACGGCAGTGTTTGGGCCGTAACAATTGCGATCACAATTCTATTTATGAGAGCTAGAATTGTGATGTACTGAATGAACTGAAACCATGACGGCAGTGTTTGGGCCGTAACATAGCATCGCAATTGTTCTAGTACCTTGATCCTTGCACTTAATAATCACAGCTAAGTTAGAACCATGAAACATAAGACACATCACAGTTGTGCTAATACCATCGCACCTTGTATATTTCCATGCGCACAATCACAATTCACTTAGTACTCTGAAGATACCCTAAAGAGGCATCACGGTTGTGTTAGTACCGTGATGTTTTCTGAGTTGTCCATCTTCCCTTAAGGATCACTGTTCAGTTAGAGCCCTTAGAACCATGAAGATCTAAAAAAGCCGAACGTGATGAGTTTTATAAACATAATACTACCATGAAGGATATTTTAGTCACAAAACAGCAAACAATGATAAAAAGTGCTATGATTGAGGTTTTAGAGTTTTCGAGTTTTTTCTAATAACCTAAAAAACTTAAGTTTTTATAATCTCCCAAGATTTAAGCTCGGCCCACCTTTGAGTAAAGGAAGTTCAAAATTTCAAAAGATTGTGTACAAGTTTGGGAGCATATTTACTTATAATTTAAAATTGGACTTTGATTTCTTCAGCCTCTATATTATCTTTCTTAAAAATTAGATGGTTCCGGTGCAATATTGGAATGCCATTTTCCTTAGGCGTATATAGAGTGAGAGTTAAAACTTTGTCCTTTGACATTGATTCTCGGGTTCCTGAGATCGCATCCCAACATTTGAGTTTCTAGTGTAAAATTTCCCCAAGGGAGTAAATGGATAGTATACTCCTACCATAGTAGAAAATCTTTTGGCTTTTTGCCGTACCAAATACAACTCTATCTTTCCTTTTTCTTAAAAGAAACTTTGCATTTTCATCAAGTCTCACCCCAACAATTTCGGGTTGGCAAATTATTGAAAATATATCTCTAAAATTTTAAAAATAACCATATTTTCCAATTTTACACCTATTTCCCTAATTTATTTTATTTAATAAAAATATCCCTTCACCTACCTACATATTAGGTTGGTGAAAGCCCGGGTGAAGACTATCACGAACCGAATAAGTTTTTGATGGGTCGCTAACCAATTAAGCCTGGACACTTTTCTTAAGCCACTTACATTTGTAATCATAGCTGAGTGCGTATATGTAAAAACTCATTGTCATTCCTCTAATGTTCGTCTTTCGAGTCTGAACAATACTTTAAATGTTTTCATACTAAAATGTCCATTCCTTGCATAACTTAGAAGCTACATTCTTCTCCATAGGGTGACATTCTCTCTCTTAATAAATCTTTCCTTCCATAAACCTCATCATGCATTAGTCCAGGTTAATCATAATTAATCATAGAATAATTTGTATAAGGATGCAACCTTATACTATAGAAGTAAAACACACCTAAAATATTTAATCAAAAAGAGTGTTTTGGAGTTGGAAAACCTCCTATGGTTATAAAAAGAAAAAAAAAATCATTTCTTAAAACTAGTGCATCCTATAACAAACTATTTGGACCATATATTTTCAAGATCTTCACATATTATTGATCTATTTGATCTGCAATATTTTTGAAATTTTAAATATCATAATTGGGGTTGAATGTTAATTTTTGAGTTCCCGATATCAAAACTATATCATCCATGAAAATTTAGGGAATCGCCCTACTTATAGTGTCTAGCGAGCACCTTAATACAAACCGAACCCATTAAAAGTATGAGAGACAAAGCAGCAACTGTATGAGCCCTGCCCCCTATTCTCTCTCTCTCTCGAACTCAAACTCACACTCAAACCCCTCTCTCTACTATCACACTACTCTAGTGCATAGGATTGGTATTGCTACGATCTGATCCATTCCATTATTAGGGATCAATCCTGAACCCACCATATCATTCTCTTTTCCAAGAGAAGAGACGAAATAAGAGACTTCCACAAATCAAATTATAATAGGCATGTATATAGAACACCAAAGCGAAATTTGAGACCTTTTGTTTTTTGAGACCACCTGTTTTCTTATATCCAGCGGATAAATTTGCTCAATTTATGCATACTGTTTACAATATACAAAGGGGGTAAATATTATCTTAATAAAGTGTTGCTACATGCCCTAAAATACAAAAGATTTTATTTAATTTTCAGCCCCTATTTCCCCATACACTGTCAAAAACTCTTGAGTCAAACAACTCGCTTGAAGGCTACGGAATTCATACTAATCGCATACATACAATAATACCATACATTCTCTCCAGCAACAGGGTACTCGGTTTGCACGGTATACTGTAAAATGTGAAAAAAATATTTTCTCGATGATACAAAGTTATATAATCTAAATCAAATTCTAGTTTATTTTGTTTCTCCATGATATGAGATTATACTCAAATCTTAAAAAATCTTCAAAAAAAAAAAAACTCATTTCATTGTTAAGCCGATAGTATCCAAGAGCCCACTACAAGCACCAAATATCAACAGAAAAATGGGTAGAAGAAATTTGTTTCTTCGCCGCACATCTTATCAAACGTCAAACAAGACCATCGTCCGATATTCTCAAACACCATGTTTATCTGCATAAACATTGCGATCTCAGCAACTTAAGGAAACATGGCAGCAAAGAAAAGTTTTATCAACTAAAATGCAAACCCTAAACGAGCATACCACACAGTCATGGCTTTTCAATATCTTTTCAAACCTTCAATGACCCACACACCACTTAAAGGAATCCCAAGGTTCCAAAGTCATGCATCATAGAAAATGCTCTATTCATTGTCAGACATTAACAAACGGGAAAGCTTTCTATTATTCTCCTAATGTAGAAGTTATAATTCCCCCCTATCCAACCGTCCAACCTAAATGGACGGTTGAGATGGATCCAATTATAACATCACACCTCTACACTATTTTATTTTTAATTTTTTTTACAAAAGATTTTGATATCAAATTTTTGGCGTTCACTCCTCCTTCAAACTCATACTTCCCAAAAGTATTACAAAATATTCCGGATAAAATAAATTGACTAAAATACCCCAAAAAATTTCAAACGAATTTGGTAATTTTATTGTATTAGGAATATTTTTCAATAACTTTTTTAGATGCATGCCATTGAGATGATTTCATCAACCAAATTTCATATTCATATGATTTGTCGAAAATAAAATAAAATACTCTGAGATGTTGGATCTAAGATCGAAAGGTCAATGGCTCACTTGATCTAAATTGGATGGCTGGATGGATAAAGGACAAGGAAGTATATATACAATAGGAGAAGTATAGCAAGCTTTTCCCTAACTAAAACCATTGTCCAACAATCAGCATAAACATTGTGCACCTCAAACACTCAGAGACATACAGTTCATAGTAGCCCTCGAGACAAAAGAGAACATAATTAAAAGCAGTTCTATCAAGTACCGCTGGCAAGATGCACATTTAACCTTTAAATGAAATGACACCCTACGGCTTTTTAAGATCCTTATCCAACTTTTCATCAGCCATCTGTCATCGAAACATCACGCATCTATTCCAAATTACCAAAAATTTACCATGAGAATTCATGGAAAGCATAGGTAGCAAATGCCATATAGAAGACTACTACAGTGATCCATCTACAAAACAAAAAGCAAGATGTAAGTTGCAACCAGAATGCTATGGAACTTCTTCAGCATGATGTATGAAACTACCGAGAGAACAATACAACAGTTCATTTAAGGGCAAGACATAAAAATCAGGAATTGCCTACAAAGAGACCATTTATCTTTTGTATATGGAGGTCACAATCATTCTTCTCCATTAAATTTTCAAAATGGGTGGTTGTAACAGTGTCATTGAACAGACATAAAGTTCAAAAAATAAAGTTCTCGAACTTTGTGACTCACACCAAGCTATCCAATTTGACATCTAATGAGTGGGAATGATTGTAACCTCCATGTACAAAAGATAAATGGTCTCTTTATAGACAATCCCTCAAAATCAGAAGATAGAACTTGATTCATCTCATAAAAGCAGTGACTAAATATTGGCAGGGAACAGGGACTGGATAAAGAAATCCTGAGACTTGAGCACATCTCAGTCAATCATGGCCCTTCAATGAATATAGAGTTGGGTAGCTAATTTGGGCTCAGGACCCAGGTGTCCGAGCCTAAGTCCGAGTTTTTAATCACTGAATAAAAGACTAGAAGAGTATGCTTCTTTCTAAACAAGCACAGAAAACAAATGAACGTCTCTATGGTGTGTGTATGTACACATGTGAATACTTCTGCATGTTATTACTCGTGTGGTGTAACGTAAAGGAGAATAGAATTACCAGTGAAATTTATGTAGCAAGAAGTCCAAGTGGAACAAAGCAAATGGTAACACAGAAAGCCTAATACTTGACCACCTCATCTCAAAATACAAATGGCAGTGCTTCATATAAGCTCTGGTTGCACCAATGGAATTTTATCATTATCCATAAAAAGCCATTGAAAGATGTATGCAGATTTGACGGAAGATGGATAAAAACTAACCAAGGGAACAATAAAACAGCTCGACCAAAACCTCTGTCGACCACCTTAACCTTACACCTCAATCCACCAAAGCCACCACCTCAGCCACCTCACAAGACCAAAATCAAGCCTGCAAACAGCAGGAACCATGGAAATGGCCAAATCCCCGACCAACCAGCCAAATCCCTTACCAACCACAAAAACTATTTCAAAATACATCTCGATGGGAAGGAAAGCACACAATTTGAGCTCTACAAACCTCCCCTTGTGCAAAGAACAAATGGCCAAGTGATATCAAACCTTCTTAACAAATGGTGGAGTAGCAATAAACAAATTCAAGTATGCCTGGTGGGTTACTTCAATGGCCCAAATCCCGCATTCAGCTTCACAATGAAAGCTCCAAATTATCTGGAAATTGCAGGGTAAGTTCACTCATATGGTTAGACTATCAAAAGAGGCTACTTACCACCAACAGAGTGCAAAATTGAGTTCTACAATTGGGCAATAGATACTTGTGTATCGCTATGAAACCCATGACCACCTCTTCATCACATGTGACTTTATATATAACCTATACCAAGCAATCTTGTGAAGATTCAAACTGATGTGATCACTAGTATAGGCATTCAAAGTCTCCCAACAAATTGGTTCCAAAGGAAATTTGCCAACAAGTACCTAGACAAGCTTTGGAAAGTTTCTCTGCAATTCAGGTCATTTGACAAGAAAGAGATGAAAGGGCAAAAGAAGGACACATTCAATCTCTTCGAGGGAACTAAGGATGGTAACATGGAAGGTTCTAGCATCCCAAAAACAATGCCAGTCCCACCAACGAATGTCAAAGAAATAATCATCTATAGAGGACAGGGAACAAAACTTCCCAACTCACCTTGACTAAGATAATGTCCATAAAATGAGGCCTAATGTACATAAGAGTGATAGAGAGAGCATGTGAGACCAATGTAATGCTTACCTCTTGTATGCATTTTGACAGATATTAATACAATGAGTGGGGTCCACAAGAAACAATTGCCATCATAGAAGGAAAAAGAAGAAAGAGGGAGAAGACTACTGCTCAACTACCAAAACATACATGAGGATTCAATTGGAGGAATTACGTATGCAAAAATTTGATGGGGATGATCATGGCAGATATCCAACTTATGTCGATCAATTCAACATTGGGAGAGCAGAAAATTTCATAGAGATTTTGGACCATAGGCCAAACTAGAATAAGCAACTGGAAAATAGCCATGTCCCTCTTGCTTCATATCCTTTACCAAAAGTAGTCCCTCATAGTTCAATACATGAAAGAAAAGAGCAACAACCCACCATTCAAACACATGCGTGAACAACACTTCTTTTTATCGCTATGCAAGCAGGAGTTTGTGTGGATTCACCACTCATTATATCTGTATGGATGAAAATTTCCAACAGTGAGAGAAATCTAGCATCACCAACATACCTTTTTATGTCTATATATGCATGAAGGCCACCCTAAACATATGCTATCTCACACAGGGTCAACCAGGCACTTGTATTTCCCATCTTTCATATATCAGTCTTTCATTTCTTGGGGGTGTTATCTTGCCTTCTGGGATACTATTCTGAATCCTCCATGTCATCTCCCTCAGTGCCCCTTGAATGGTATCGTTGTAATTTCCCTTTGCTTGCCAATTCCTTTCTTGCCATATAACCCAAATCAGAGTAGGGAGAGAGGCTCTCCAAAGCCTGTCTAAGGTCTGTTATGGAAGTTTCTTTGGAACCAATTGTCTAAGAGACTTCATATGTTGATTCAACAATTGCTCTTGAATTTCCACATAATTGCTTACAAAATCTCCCCAACAAAGGCACATGTTATGAAGAGATGTTACTACTCTTTGATGTTGGCCTAACATAGGAAACAACTATTGCACCCATGAAACCCTATTTGTGTACTGTATGGGTAGGGATCCTTTTTATTATGGAGCTATCAATGAGAACCTTGAGGCTCTAAGGAGTATTGGCTTATCCCATGTGGCCTTTAAGTGTTTTAGTCTGTTTTTGCCAATACTCTCTAATAAGCATGGGAACTTTTTGATGTGATTTCTCCATAGTCATTAGAAACCCATGAGAATCAATCCTGTTTCCCACTCCACTGATACTTGCACTCCTGTGAGGAGAGATTGCAAAGGTCAATTGAATTGCAGAGATGAGGTGAGAGATGGATGAGAGAGGAAGTGTTGTGATCATGTCAATAGTCATTGGAGCACTTTGCAGTGTCCGAATCAAATGCTAGGAGAGCTTTTTCGAAGTTATCTTCGGCTCTGATGAGTTGGATGATATCAGTTGGGATTAGGTTATTTGGCCACATTAAAAAGTCCCTTAGCACCCATTATTGGGGTTCTTTGTAGGCTGTTCTATTCTTACTTTTTGTTTTTGAAGGGTCGAATCATGCCAATTATAATATGAAAGAGGACAATCAAATGGAGAATTCAACTTAAAGTTTGAACAATACCAATTCTAATTTAACAGAAAATAATAACAACTATACATTCTCTAAATTTCAATTGGAAAAATTTTAAGTAGACAATCAAATGGTGCCTAGAATTTGATACAAGAATCGCCTAGGGCCCCATCCAAATTCAACAGAGAATAATGAGAATCATACATTCTCTAAATTTCAATTGGAAAAATTCTAGTAAACAATCAAATGGTGCCTAGATTTGATACAAGAATCGCCGAGGGCCATCCAAATTTTCCTTGACTTTTGCCATAAAGAGGACCCATTGACGACTGTTGTGAAGAGCTCGCTCTTGAGTTTCTTGTCCTCATCATATGGTTCAAGGTGATTTAGTGTAACTCAAGTTGTTATTGTATCATCTCTAGTTTCACCTCATGTTGTGTATCTTGGAGATGAAACTAATCAAAGACCTCTAAATTCCATTACTTCAGACTTGTTTGATGTTTTGAGTTTTGTGTGAACCCTAATCATTATTGCCAACCTTTTATTCTTTCATTCCATCAATTTCTAAACAATCTTCAGGTTCAAACCGTAAATCAAAAAATTTAAATCATTTAGGTCCCCAATCTATGATTTGGTCGATTTGGAACATGGCCGTCAATGTTGCAAGGCGTTTTACTTCGGAATTAGGGAAAGAAGTGAACCATTACTTTGCAAACAATATTGTATCTAATTTCTCATAGATATAAGCTTCTCCTAACTGCTTGAGAACTTCTCGAAATGTTTCCCAAATCTATGAGATCACAATGACTAGTCATTTCTAAAAATTCCATTTTATACTTCCAAGAAGTAGCTTTTCTTCATTTTTTCTCATTTTCATATGCCGGTATGATAAAATCTCCCACAACTAGCCATGGGTTTGAGTTATCAATGGATGCCAACTTTGAGAGCTCCAACCATGGGTCCTTACATGTGAAGGGATTATTGGAAGCATAAATTGCGGAGAGGTTACAAAGGGTTGTAGTTGAGGGTTTGATGAATTGGATGTTTATGAATTAAACATAGCTGGAAATTATATAGATTGCAATGCCATTTGTTAGTATATCCAAGTCCAACCTCCCTCTAATTGATCATAATTTGCCACTATTCCATAGGGGTTACTAATTTACCTAGAGATTTTATTGAATTTCCTAGGGCTCATTCACGTTTCATTTTGGATAGGGATGAGCGGGTTGTTGATGAGTTTCCTGATTGCATAATATTTTTGGAATCATTGAGGCCCCAGGTATTCCAAGTGAGCAGGTTGTGTACATCGTGCATGCACTCGAAATAAATCAATAAAAGAAAATGATAGATACAAACAAAACATGAAAATTTATAAAGTAGAGGGTTTTCCTCAAGGGCTAGACCAGGTTATGTTCAATGTCAAGGGGGGAGACAACTCCATGTAGAATGCAAAGTTGAAAAAAGAAAGTACACGCCCTTTAGGGCAGACTACAGGCCCATTATTCTATGGTCAGGGAAAATATGAGACTTGAAACCAATATGAGTGGCTTATGTTCAAAAGCTTTTACAAAATGTGCAGGAGTGCAAAAGAGATAATCAGCTTTTTTTGATCGGTGAAGAGATATCAACTTTCTTCTACTACATTGTAACTATCGATGGAAGATATGGAGTTCCTCTTAAAGTTATGCCAAGGACTTCCTCTTAAAGTTATGCCAAGACCAGAGGATACTCTAGTAGACACTAGGCCATTAAGTGAGCTCCTTTAAAGGTATTGTCCACTAAGAAGGATTTCAGCAGTATTGATTTTCAAGGGATATCCAAGAAACCTACTTCAGTGGAAATCAACAGAAGACCACAAAAGGGCCTTCGTTGTCACTTATTGGGTCCTCGCCTAAGAGCATTCATATAGAGGACTTTGCCAAAGTTTGAAGAGGTTTTGTCTACTGAAGATCTAAGAATCAATATTTGGGCCACAGCATAGAAAACATAATTAAGAAAAACTTTGAAGTTAACTACAAGGCAATTTGGTTACTTCTAGGATGGAGGGAGTGATAAGATAGTAGGGATAGATACTAAAACCCTTCATGACCAAAATAGTCAACAAGCATTTGTCAGCACAACAACCATCCATACACTACATGCAGATAGAGAAAGAATAGCAATGGCATGTTTCCTACACTATGCAAATTGTGTATTCTTGAATTATGCTAAATATTCTCAACAGGCAGTCCATTTTCAAAACTAGGCCAAGTACAAGAAATTTTTAAAATACAATAGAGAGGTATGAGGTAGAGATAAGGAATATTCATTGGAGAATCTGCATAAAATGAAAAAAAAAGGAACCAGCCTGTTACATACTCAACTTAAGAGAAAACTAAAATGGCCAAAAAAATTCATAGAGCGCAGCTTAGGTATTCCAGGAAATATCCATGAGAAGTCATCTTACTACATAATCTTTCAGGGAACAACTGCCATACTAAACTAATCTAATGGATCCCACATAGAAAAATGTTTCCATTGAGGGTTTTATAGAAAGCAAAGAAAGCGGGAACCAAGCGGTGAAACCTCTACTGTTGAAAACTTCATCTAATAGAATCTTGGCCTGCAAAAGCAAATAGAATAGGCACTACTTTATTAAGATATAAAAAACATGAAAATCACTGCAGGAACTATGTTGTTTCCATGAAAAAGGATAGAGCATAGAGTGAACAATAGCCTAGTGGTGATGGGTAAAGCACTTTCTCAAAAAAAATCCATAGATAGGGTATAAGGAAAATTAGAACACTAGAAGTGAGGAGGTACAAGCTGACTAGAAGTGACTAAGAAGTTGATGACATCAAAGAAGTGCCAATGAATAGCGTTTGTAACAGATAGGGAAGAACCAAAACAATGGGCCTAAATCTATAGGAACACGTAAAAAGATAGGCAATCCACACAGAATGTTCAACATTTCATAATTGTTTCAATCACTTCAAACAAGCAAGAAACAATGTTTCACATAAACAGTTAGGCCACAACAAGAAATACAGGACACATGATTAACGATAAATGAAAAATGATCAACCACAAAAACATGAGTGGCTTAGCATTCTTTCATTTTCCCCCTTTATTTTTGGTAATGGAAGGATCTGAATCAAATTGAACAGATAGTACAGACATGGGCAATCATATCTTAGAATGTACCTTCTGAAAGCCAGCCCCAATGGCAATGGTCAACAGATAGCATTGATTTGAGCAATGCTGAAGCAGTAGCACTGTGGTGCGGCATCAGAGATACCATAGAACTCAATTCCACGGGCAACCTAATGACAACAAACATCAGAGAGAACTCAATTCCACAGGCAACCTAATGACAACAAACATCAGAGAGAACTCAATTCCACAGGCAACCTAATGACAACAAACAGGAAAAATCCATTTTCAAACAAAAACCATGAAAAGGAAAAACCAATGGAAAAAATATTTACCCTCAAATCAAATCAATCCATTTCAAGAAAGAAAGAAAGGGCCACCACGGAAAATCCGAATTGACTAGAGGAGAAACTCTAATTTATCAGATTAACGAGGGCAAGTGAATAGTTGGTTTCGTAAGGACCATTGTCTAACAAGGGATTGTATATTATGAGACCATTTCTTTTTGGTACAAGGAGGTCACAATCACTTTTAGCCATTGGATGCGAAATCCAATAGATAAAAGTGTGTCACAGCATTCGATAAATTTTGGGGGCTTTGAGCCCCAACAATGACACCTCCTCAACCACCCGATTTCAAATCTAACGGCCAATGATGATTGTGACCTCCTTGTATCAAAAGTAAATGGTCTCATTGTATATATTTTTACACAGAATGCTAATGCTAATCAGGCAGTAGAAAAAACTGTATCAAATCGACACATTTCCAGAAATAAAAGGGGCCCAAGGAATAAAACCTTAATTGGCAATGACCAGAAGAAAAAAAATCCTACAAAAATAAAGCAAAAACAATCCATTTTCAGACAATTTCAATGGATTAATAGTTGCCATAATCTCCCATCAGATAGAAACCTAAATCAATCCCATATCCAAATTAAAAAGGAGGATTAGTTGAAGGGGGATCGGGAGGCTGCTTCATTAGAGAAGAAAAACCTAAAAATATAAAATATGAATACTACATTTCAGACTGGACCATTGGAGAAAAAAGCTACCATAATTTCGCATCAAAGAAAAGCATAAATCAAATCATCCCGATTACAATAAAGAGGCCATGAAGAAAAATAGCCTGCAGCTGGAGGAGAAAAACCCGATCTTATCAGCTCCATAAGAACCACCATATAGAAACATGGACACCAAGTTCAGAAAATCAACCAATTGATAAAACGCTGATCCCAACTAGCCAGGAAACACCAAAATCAATCATTTTGAGAAAATAAAAGATCAATGAAGAAGAGCCCTGACAACCCGAAGAAGTAAAACTCTAATTTACCAATTTAAGGGACAAAATGAGAGAAAAAAAAAAGTAGGAGAAACCCTAATTAGAGTTCGCTGTTGATCACCTGGTAGTGCACAGAGTTCTCCTTTTGTGGAGGCCAAAGGTTGGTGGCTTTATCCCTGATGCGGTAGAAAGCCTTGGAGTGGAGGCGGCTCTCAGAGAAGTGGAGGAGAGGAAGAGGCGCCTTGCGCCAGCGGCGACGGCGACGGCCCTTGACATGGTGACCAGAGAGAGGAGGAGCAGAATGAGTTACTCAAAACCCTGACTAAAACCCTAGCTGCAATCCCCCCGATAGAAATTAAACTGAAAAATAAATGAAAATGATTGTGAGATTCCCGCTAAAATGAAACGGGTTTATTGGAGGGATGTATTATACCTCAAGTTCGATGCTGATCTTTGAGCTCTCACATGGTCATATCCAACGGCCTAAATTTAGTCTCGTTTTTTTAAAAAAAAATAAGATATTTCTCTGAATTTTAGAGTTTATGTGTATTTTTATATGTATAATTAATTAAAATAATTTAATAATATTTTAAATAAAAATAAGCAAAATATCATCAAGATTTTTTACTCAAAATATTTTTTATTTATTTTATTCAACCTTACTTATAAAAAATGAACGTTAAACCGAAATATCATATTAATATTATTAAAAAAATAAAAATAAAATAAAATAAATTCATTATTGGCTGTTGGATGAGAATGGTTCAATCCAATGGTTTAAAAACCGGATCGGTGACCGGGATCTGGCTTTTTAAAAACAGATCCGGATCGGCGAATCGGCGATCCGGATCGAAATCGTGTGAATCGGTCAGAATAAAGC